TTGGCCTGGCCTCAAATTTGGCCTCCGTAAAAATTTTTGGCCTCAATTTTGGCCTCACTCAAAAATAATTTCTTTTTCAGAATTTGATTGATTTTATTGATTTTTTATTGGTTTCATTTTTTAACAGATCAAGCAGGTAAATAATATATTTCTGTTGATATGTAAATGTGAAAATTAAAATAATTATACACTACTACCGATCTGATTTATTTTTATTGATTTTCTATTGATCTGTTGCAATTCTGAAGACTATTATGAACACAGAGCATATAATTTTACTTTCAATAAGACACTCTCTTAATGATTTATTAAATGTGTCTTTTTTTTTAAATTTCCATGGCAGGAATGATAATTTTTACAGAGTAAAACATTTAGAAACATTACAATTAAATTATCAAGACAACAAAGAAATCCAGATGAGTAGTAATTAACTAAAAACTTAAAAGAATTTTAAATTTGCCATTTTAAGTATTACTTGTTTAATACAAGTTTTTTTTTTTAAACTGTCTTTATTCAGAATTAAAAAAAATCTGTTTCATGATGTTGACTACTTTAATAAACTGATAGAAAAAGAGTCAATACTATGATATGCAAGTAATTGACCACATTTTATATGATAGGGTTCTAATGGTCTGGTGGATAGGATGCAATTGTTCTACAGCACAATTGTTGATAAACTATCATCAAACTCAACTTTTGTTTTGATAATTGTAGGTAGTGAAAGTTGTAGCAGGAAATTCTTTATAAATCATGGGTGGCTTAACAGCCTATGCACATATAGTAATACATGTCATTACTGATTAACTTCAACCTTTAAACTCCCTGTCAAGAACCGTGCTGCAGAATTTTTTGTCATTTGATATCCAATTACAGTGTTACGGCAAAGGAACAGAAAGTTATAAATTATCTGATAATGCTATTTATCTTAATTTTTTTTGAATACCAACTGTTCTTAGATTAAAGTGAACATGAATTTTTAACAGAGTAATCAAATCAGTATAATATAAATATTTTGGTATCTGTCTTGGTATATTTATTTGATAAAAAATCTTAGGTGCCTGTATTCATATATCACACAGATGATGCAGGCATAACTGTAACACAACACTCCACAGTGTGTAAAAGATGATGATTCATCTACTCAACAAGTGGGAATTTTTCAAAGCTATTAATGACATTTGACATAAATTATTGCAAGAGATTTTTTTCAATGTTCACAATTTGGAAAACACACAATAAACTCTAGAGAGCAGAGGACAGCAATATAAATAAGAACAAAGAATTTGTAAAACTATATATAAAAAATAAACAATAAAAACATAGAGAAACTCTGATACTTTCTTTTCTAAATGATTATAATCAAGAGTATCAGGAGCATGTCTGTATGAAATACCTGTAAATAATAAAATGAAATAATTGTACACTGATAGATTGATAATCATTAAATAAAAAATTGGTAGTAGAGTATAATTATTTTAATTTTCACATTTACATATCAACAGAAATATATTATTTACCTGCTTAATCTGTGAAAAAATGAAACCAATAAAAAATCAATAAAATCAATCAAATTCTGAGAAAGAAATTATTTTTTAGTGAGGCCAAAATTGAGGCCAAAAATTTTTACAGAGGCCAAATTTGAGGCCAGGCCAACTTTTGAGGCCAGGCCAAAATTTGGTTTGAAGCCAAACTAGAAGCCAAAATAGAGGCCAGGCCAACTTAGAGGCCAGGCCAGGCCAAAGGGGCCAGGCCAGGTTTTAGAGTATGCCTAACAGAAGTGCGGAGAAAATATTGGCACGAGTGTAAGGCATAGTTTAAAACAAAGACTGCGTTGTTAATCAACAATTTTACTTTTTCTTTTTAAAACATGATCTGCTGTATTTATTTGAAATGAAGTGTATATTTGAACATTTCCTATAGATGTTTTTCAAAAATATGATGAAATATTGATTTCTTAAAAATAAAGAATATTAAGACATGTTCGTCCAGGAGACTAGGATACAACACTTTCCCGCAACATCTCAACACCAAAACAAAGAGATTGAAAGAGAAATAATGGGTAGTGGTGGATCTAGAAGGAGTTCGGGGGAGGGGGGAGGGGGTGGTTTAACATCCTCTAAGAGAGAGAGAGAGCGCGCGAGGAGTCCCACATATTATATATTTGTTGTGTTTTTATTAAGGTAGAACTATAGCTAAGTTTAAACTTTAGTTTTGTATGTTTTATGTAAAAACTACTTAAACAGCAAACTCACAAGAGTTCGTTAAGTTATACCAAACTGAGTGCAGAGACGCAGAGGACTACGCACATATTATATTGCCTATACATGTAATATTGTACATGCATTATTCATGAAGAAAATCGGCATTGTCGCATGCATTTTTTTTTTCGTGTCACGAGGATATTTTAACTGAAAAATATAAGAAATTTAAAAAAAAACTGCAAATTTCATTTTCTAAAATAATTTCAACGGTTATATAAATTGGTTTGCGGCCGATTTTTGACGCTTGCGTCAATATGTTTCTTGTTCATTTTTTTTCCAAATCTTCTGTCAAGTTTTTTTTTTTGTATTGTATATGTACCTCTGACCAGTTCGCATATAATGTATGTTATTAATGTGTATTATACCCCATGTACCATTATATTTTGGTTTGGGTGAATAATAAATTGAACAAAAATCTCCCGATATCCCCCCCCCCTTTCCGGCCTTCCCGATAAATTTTTAAATCCTTCCGTGTTTTTAATAAAGATTCTTCAAATTAAATATTATTTGGAATATTTTTTATCGTGTTTCATATATACATGTAATTGCTTATAATGAAAAGAAATTCAGATAACAATGCCAGTATAAATTTTCACAGCAGGCACATTGTATGCTTCGTAGGAATATTAACATGAGGTCGTATAATTACGTTGTAAAAATTAGTGATATATCAACTTGATAAATGACCATTGATGCTTATTACTGAATGCAAAACATTGTAATTATAGTTGCTAAAATACCCTATTCTTATCTTCTAATGCTGCAGTGGTCATTAAATGATACAGCAGGGTTTTTTTAGGGAACGTAGGGGGCCTGTATAAGGCCCCATTCCCAATGGTAAAAAGTATGTGTTTTTCCCAATTTCATTGAAGAAAATTCCCAAAAGAGAATCGAAACAAACAAACCGGTTAAAAAATGTTCAAACGCAGTAACATTTTTATCAAAAGTGTTGTTCCAAATAAAAATCTTAAAGGCATTCTTCCAAAACTGATTGACTGAATGCAAAATAAGTCAAAGAAATACTTTGCAAATAAAACAAAACCCCTCTTACTTGAATTTATATAGAAAAATATTAAATATGATACTTTTCCCAATATCAACCAAATGTCGCTATTTTTCCCAATTAGAAAGGCCCAGGTCCTTGTTTTTAAGACCTAGAAAAAACCCTGTACAGTTATAATGTAGGTCACACTCTAGTTAAATAGATCAACTCATCTGTACAAATTCTATACAAATAACTGTCATTTCAATGATAAAAATTTATGTTTGGATAACGTATGTCCTTAAGTGCAATCATCCTTGCCCTCTCAGCATTTTGTAAAATTTGATATTACAGACCTTCCTGATTTGAAATTAACTTTACTATGAAATCAAGCGAAACGAATGAAAATTGTTTTTATATTATGTTTATAATATAGAAGTATATTTTTTAAAAGTTTATAAAGAGTTAAAGATGTCACACGGATATATTATGTATATTGGTGTAAATCAAACTCATTGAATAACATAAGTTAACAATGATTGTGACAAAATGACCGTGGACGAAACAATCTGTGATCAAAATACCCATAGCCTAGGGGAAAAAAACGTGTCTTCCGCCTCTCTTTGTGGCTGAGGCAACGTCTCGGGCGTCTGTGTTCAGCATGTTCAAGATAAGAATAAGGTTATTTAAATTTTTTATTGATGTAATATGATGCAAATGTCTCCATTAACATGATTAATATCCCGCCAAATACAGACGGGAATCATGGTATCAGTTAATAGGTCTATCCATGGGTTAAATGTATTGACAGTTAGAATTTTCTCTACACTACTATCCCTGAGGAACCTATATCGGTGGTAATATTAGCATTCAATATACAAAATTTTCATAACAAGTACAATTTAATAGGAACTTAAGAGTGACTAAAATAGGTAGTAAAACTTAGTCTTAGGGAAAACCCTGGATCATAGATCCATAGATGGATAGATAGATAGACAGACAGACAGACAGATAGACAGATAGATAGATAGACAGACAGACAGACAGAGAGCCAATGAGATTTATATATTATTATTTCATATTTAAGGTACAAGCAGAAATGGTGGACGACATCATTGGTCAAAGGATGAGAAAAATTCCATTGAGCGCCAGTTTTCTGAATATTTCAAATCTGGACATACCGGTACACCTGGTCGATTAGCATGCTTAAATGCAATTGCAAAAGAACCAATACTCTCAAAACGTGACTGGTCTAAGATAAAGCATACTTTTAGAAATTTGATCATTTCACAAAAAAGGAAACAATACAAGGCTTAAATATTTCATATCTTATTTCATTATTGTATGTTAAAATTAAATTAGACATGTGAAAAAGAGGACATTATTCCTTGTCTCCTACATTTCTTAGCCTGCATACATATTTGTTTGGTTGTTTATATATTTGTTTGTTTGTTTTTGGTTACGATTTAGTGTATTTATCTGCAATGTGTAATATGATCAAACAGTAAAACTTAAAATTCTACATGAGTTCTTATTGGCTAATTGCAATCCAGTGAAACCAATGAAAAGAAAGTTATACATGTATAATGATCTTAATGCTGAAACTGAACTTTGAAAAATTAACATATCTATTGTTTATTTATCAGCTGTTTTCAGATTCAATGCATATAGCTAGTTATAAAAGTCTGATAATTTCATCTAGCCTATAGATTGTATTTTGTAATTAATATTGCATGAAAAATTCATACTAGAACTTAAAGATAGGCCACGGAGAAATTGTGTAAGCAATATTAACGAAGAAATAAATGCTAGGATCATGAAATCGAAAACCCCGTGTAAAATGATGCTCTAGATCCCGAGATATTTATAGTTAAACATGCTCATTTACACCTGCCCAGGCGATCGATAACCAAGCCGAGTGCTACTTCCGGTTTAGATGTTTACAATATCTGTGACGTCACAAGTGTGTCTTGGGTTTCCCCATGTATATTACAGAGATGGCTGAACTGTCTGTTAATATTGAGAATGAAAGTCAATCGGAACGTTCTGAAGATGAGCAAACTCTGGATTTGTCCTGCGGATCATCTAGTTTTGACGAAAGTGTTACTGACGAAGTCTACGACCCCAATTCTATTAAGCCATTCCGATTTGAGCCGTACGAAAGTGGGTCAAATGAATCAGATTCTGTTGACTCGGATGATCATGAAAATATAGACAACCGCTTACAAAACACTGATTGGTAATTTTTTTTAACGTCAACTTGATTAAATAAAAGCATGATTATTTTTTTTTAAATTGAAACAAATCATTCTGTATTCATACTCAGTTAACCTTTTGTAATAGGTGCACTTGTGGTAATTGCATATCAATGCCAACCGCAGCAGAATCAGTATGTTGTCACGAAGTTGAGAAAATACACCACCTATTCACAGACTTAAATTCAGAGGTCCATTGTATTACAGCCCATCCTGGTTTTCAACCAGCATGTTTAAATACATACGTTCTACAGATAGCATACTACCAGTACAAGCAGCAGTACAGGGAAGACATTGAAGACTCTTCCGAGTATGTTTAATAATAAATTTATTGTATTGCACATATTAATCAATTTATGTCAATATTGTCTGTCTTTCTATTTGTCCTCAAAAACTTAATCTTGTCCCTAACTTTTGATTTAGTGGAGCTATGAATTTCATGGGTGACTGGAAATTCCAGAAGCCCCCAGTTTTTTGGAGAATACCCATACAGAAGGGTAGAAGCCCCAATAAAGTGGTAGAAGCCCCATAAAATTGAATGATTTAGGGTACATAAAACCCTATGGTGATGTTTAAATGACTTATATTGATA